TAAAGTGGAATCCCCTTCTCAAATGTCTGCTTACAATACGTGTTTGCAGCACTTTTACTACTTCTGGAATTACGGTCCCTTAATTTATATTATTTAAATTTCCTAAACTAGTTGAAAATGGAACAAGTTTATTCCCGCTATACATATAATTGGACATATAATTAACTAGATCTGATACAGTATTTATAGTCATTTAATTATCCCTTCTAGAAATCCTAAGCTACAACTCAGTAAGTGATTAAAAATAAATGTAACAAGCTGGACACGGTAACTCACGCTTGTAACCCCATCACTTCGGGAGGCCAAGGCAGGTGGATCACTTGAGGCCAGGAGTTTGAGATCAGCCTGGCCAACATGGTAAAACCCTATGTCTACTAAAAGTACAAAAAATCAGCCGGGCATGGTGGCGGGCACCTGTTATCCCAGCTACTCGGGAGGCTGAGGCAAGTGAATTGCTTGAACTCAGGAGGTGGAGGTTGCAGTGAGCTGAGATCACGCCATTGCAGTCCAGCCTGGGCAACAAGAGTGAAACTCCACCTCAAAAAACAAATAAATAAATAAAATATGTAGCAATAAAAACACTCATTGCTGTTTATGGTTAATAGATGCAGCCATCTCCAGATTTGCTAGTCAAGGACTAATCCACAAATGTAGTTTATCCATAATTTGTAATTGTGAACTATATTTATACGTGTACAAACATTCCCATTTAGTAAACTCTAAATTCATTGGCATATTTATAACAATGGCACTATTCAGAATATTTACAATTACAATTTTTGCCCATAATCTGCACATAATTCTAATTTAGCATGCTAACCTAATATGCTATATTCCACATATTATATAATAAAATATCTACATGTCACATACCTGTCTACTGCTAATGTGTGTCTCCTTCAGATAATAAGCTTAAATAAATACACAAAGGAAATTATTTATGAAATAAATGTTTTAAAATTTTATCTCAAATCAAAGTTGTGCAAAGGATATAATGACTATTTCCAAGATAATTCAATGAACACTGTAAGACTCAAATCAGGTACCCATAAAGGAAAGAGGAGAAGAAAACAAGATTTACCTTACATCATAATAAATATCTTATGTATCAAAGACTTAAATGTTAAAAAAACGAAAAAAAATTAGAAGAAACTGGGGGAGTGTTTAATATTGAATATTGCAGAGTGAAAAGGTCAAGATATAACATAAACCTAAGTTTCATAGAAGGTTATAAATTCAATTGTATAAAAATAACCACCTTCTGGCCAGGAACAGTGGCTCATGCCTGTAATCCCAGCACTTTGGGAGGCAGAGGTGGGCAGATCATCTGGGGTCAGGAGTTCAAGACCAGCCTGACCAACATGGAGAAACCCCATCTCTACTAAAAATACAAAATTAGCTGGGCGTGGTGGCGCATGCCTATAATCCCAGCTACTCCAGAGGCTAACACAGGAGGATCGCTTGAACCTGGGAGGCAGAGTTTGTGGTGGGCCGAGATCATCCACTGCACTCCAGTCTCAGCAACAAGAGCAAAACTCTGTCTCAAAATAACAATAATAATAATAACCACCTTCTAGATCATCCTGACCAACATGGTGAAACCCCATCTCTACTCAAAATACAAAAATTAGCTGGATGTCATAGCACGCGCCCGTAAACCCAGTTATTCAGGAGGCTAAGGCAGGAGAATGAATCACTTGAACCTGGGAGGCAGAGGTTGCAGTGAGCTGAGATCGCACCACTGCGCTCCAGCCTGGTAACAGAGCAAGAGACTTGGTCTCAAAAAAAAAAGCCGGGCGCGGTGGCTCAAGCCTGTAATCCCAGCACTTTGGGAGGCTGAGGCGGGTGGATCACGAGGTCAAGAGATCGAGACCATCCTGGTCAACATGGTGAAACCCTGTCTCTACTAAAAATACAAAAATTAGCTGGGCATGGTGGCGCGTGCCTGTAATCCCAGCTACTCAGGAGGCTGAGGCAGGAGAACTGCCTGAAGGCAGGAGGCGGAAGTTGCAGTGAGCCGAGATCGCGCCATTGCACTCCAGCCTGGGTAACAAGAGCGAAACTCCGGCTCAAAAAAAAAAAAAAACCAAAAAAAAAAAAACCGCCTTCTGCACTGCAAATGCCACCAAAAAAATGTCTTAAGACAAATAACCAATTAAGAAATATTAGTTATTCATATGAAAAGGGCTAATTTCCCTGACTTAAAGTACACACAAATGAATAGGGAAAAAAATATCAACAACCCAATAGAAAAATGGAAAGGATAAACTGTTCATAGAAGGAAGAGGAAAAGTGTTCATAAAAACATAACAAGATGCCCAACTTCATTCATAATAAAATAGATACAAACCTAAAGTACCCTAAGATACCATATTTTACCTATCAGGCTAGCAAAGATCAAAAATTTTGAGCAGAATTCTATTAAAAGCTTGGAAAACATTTCTCATACACTGGTTCCATGATGCATGAAAGGAAACTTGGCAACATCCTTCAAAATTACAAATGCACATATCCTTTAACCCAGCAATTCACTTTTAGGAATTGATCCTACAGGTAATAGACACTCACCTGAAATATAAATATTAATCACAGAATTGTACATGACAGCAAAAGATATGAATAGGGAGACTCTGAATGAGCACAGATATTTACAGTCAAAAAAAGCCCAAGATATGAAACAGCAACTACAATGTGCTATCATTTCTATAAAGGGTAACTATTTATACTCATATTTGCTTGTATATGCTGAGCTCTCTCTGGAGGAATATGCAAGCAACTAATATCACCACTGGCCTCTGAGGAAGTGGGGCAGGGTGGCTGAAGCAGGGATTAGAAGAACACGGTATTGATACTTTGTTGTAAATATTTTTATTCCTTTCAAATATTAAACCATGTGCTATATTACCTATTCAAAAAATAACTGTTTTTAAAGGCAAAAAAAGAGAGAGGGGCCCAATCATACAATATAGACACATGTGACCCAATCTGGGATTATGGTTCACAGACTGAAAAGCAGAAAGTATCTACTTCTCCTGTACATGTGTTTTATTCTATCAATGGTTGGCTTGGTTTTATTCATCACTAAGCTTTATTTAAAAATTTAACAGAACTTATTCAAAGTTTTATTTATTACTATGCTTTTATTTTTAAACTGTACAGAACTTACTCTAATATTTAAACAGAAATATTTTTCTACATAAATAGGTTAATATCGTATGTTTATCTTTATTATGCCATTTTGAGAAAAACAGAATGCCCAATTTAGTGTGTGAAAACTTTAAGCTCAGAGAGATGCTTTTATCTTCCAAATGTATAAAATGCGAACTGTCATGCTCATTATACCAACTAACTACTCTGCATTTCCAGAAAACTTTATAAAATTAAGGCTTATGAAGCTCCAAGTGAGATGTAAATTCTTAGTGCAAACCAAACACAACCAGGGAAAATACAGCTAATAAACCCAGAAATGTGTATCTTCTAGAAAGCTAAAAACACAACGTGCATTATAGAGAAGTAGAATCTTAACTGTAATGACCCCCAATATCACTAAATGACATTTCTGCCAATTACTGGTTTTTTAAAAAAAAAAAGTGAAACAAAGTAATCTCTTTTCTATGAGCTCATAAAACGACTTCATGCTTTAGTAAAGAACATCAATTACGTCATCTGAATCTCCTCTTTTTTGAAATGGGAATTTAAATCTAGTTAGTTCCTCCACAATTTCCTTTACGTCCAAGTAAAATAATCCTAGATACAGGTGGAGAGAAAGGCACAATTCTGAATTAACTCAAAAAAGCAGAAGCAGATTAATCAGTATTCTGATAAAAAGAACATAATCCTTCGGTAAAATCTGTGTTAAATTGTAAAGGTCCATTTTAATTACCCCAACTAGGTAACTGGGCAGTTTGAGCATCACATCTCCGTTACATTCGACTCTTCAAGACTTTTTAAGTAGCTCTTATTTTAATGATACAGAATATTGATGCTATCGCCATTCTTGTCACCTGTCAAATTATCCAAATCACAGTTATCTGCGTTCAGGTTGTTTCTCAAGATTTCTGTTCTCCTGCCCACTCAAGAGGCCCTGAGTGCTCCTTGGCGCGCACGCGGAGGCCGCGCTCCAGGTCTGCACCGAAAACGCCCCGCACGGATGCGCCCCACCATCACCATCACCCTCCCGACTTCGCCACCTCCAGGGTCATCACCCCTGAAGGGCTTTGTCTTTATAACGACGCCGATTCCCTCTGCCTCGCCGGGGAATCAAACTTCCCAGTGACAACGACAGCGGCCAGCACAGGACGTCCACCAGCTTGGCAGGGGCTTGACGCTCAGCCTCAGACCCGGGGACGGTCCGGAGTCCCGGCACGACGGCGCGGGGGGCGCAGCCCTGCCCACCTGGCCTGCCTGGTGCGCGCCCTGGCCGCGGGGACGCAGGGGAGCCAGCCGGGCCGAGCGAGCGTGGGGAGCGGGGCGAGCGCCGGGAGAGAGGAGGGAGGAGGGGTCAACGGAGAGGGCGGAGTCGGGGGCCAAGCGAGGAACGCGGGATTTAGGAGGGGGCCTTAACCGCGGCCCTGAGGTTTCTTCCAGAAACTCGGAGACTCGGGGAAAGGGGTGGGGAAGAAGCCCGCAGAGGCTCGGCGCGGCGACGGGGAGGATCCCCGGGGTCTCCAGCCCGAGGGAGGCGTCGCCAGGGCCGCCGAATCGGGACGGGCAGAGGAAAAGTCAAGGAGGGCTGCGCTGCTCGCCGGAGCGGAGCGCCGGGCAGCCCGGGCCGCAGGACTCACCGCGCTGACGGCGGCGGCGGCGGCGGCGGCGCCGGACGACGCGGGGCCGGGCGCGTCCTGCCGCCTCAGGCGGGACTTGAGGCTCTTCATGGCTCAACTCTCGCTAGTCCCGCGCGCCTCGAGCTCGGCGCGCCTGGCCCGCTCGCGAACCTTAAAGGCTGCGGGATGCGGGATGCGGGCTGCGGGCTGCGGGCTGCGAGCGCGCGATGGGGAGGAGGCGGCGGCGGCGGCAGAAGCGGCGCGGGCTGTACCCGCCCCACCTGCCTGCCACCTGGGGGCCCCGGCGGCGGACGGCGACGGGTCTGAGGCGGGGCTCCCCTCCGGTAGCCAATCGACCGGCCGCCCTGGCGGGGGCGTGGCAAACCTCGACCAATCGAAGTCCGGGAAAGGGGAGGGACTTCCCTTTTAAACTTCGTAACACCCTTCCTCTCTCCGCTGAGGAAAAGTTTGGGAACTTTAGCCCGGGAAGGGGCGTGGAGAGGGAGACGCGCAGGCCGGGCTCCGGGCCACCGGCGCCCGCCCACCGGGACCGTGGACTTTAGGGTCTAGAGAGAGCATGGGGTCCCACCTCTGCCGCCTCTCGTCTTCCCCGACTCCCGTCCTCTTCCCACCCACGCGCTCTTTCCCAAGTGAAGTTCCTTCCCTTCCGTCTGGTCTCAGAAATGACTCTTGGTTACCTGGACACAGACCAGCTTTCAGAAGTCCCTTCTCTACACGCCTCAAGAATTCCAGAAACAAACAGTCTCGAAGGAATAAGGTGATGATTGTGTAGTAAAACGTACAGTTAAGAAAGACCTTGAAAGACGTTATGATTAGTTCCAGTGCAACTTAACGTGCTTGATTATTTGTGGAGCCCAGAACCCGCCGCCTTGGAAGCGGAGGGATGAAACGGGGGCGGAGCGGGAGGGAAGGGAAGAGGTGCCGTCCGTTTAAAAATGACCCCCATAGCCAGTGACAGAAGTTGTCAGAAAAGGTTCTTCCGAAAGGTTTTTTGTTTCCCGTAGAAACACATGACTCGTAAACGTATACGATGAAGTTAAGTCATCCTACCTAGAAATGAGTTAATGAAAATTATTAAAGGGGTTGAAGAAACAGGAAGGTGTTCAGCACCCAATAATTGGCTGTTCCTGTGACATCTTCAAAAGTCTTCTTTGGAGTCATTCCCCCCCCCCCAGCAAAACGTTTATTGTAGCATACATCCATCTGAAAAGACAAACAGTCCACATTTCCTAACAAAGGACTCTTTTTCTGTCTGAAAGGTCAGTTGTTTTCTGTAGAGTGTCTTGAGAGTAACTCAAGGTTTTCTTCAAACACTGTAAGAAAGTTTTCAGAATTTCTTGGAGAGACGGCATTCGAAGAGTGTGTTAACCTATACAACAAGTAAATAACGAACAACTACCCGAAAAAATTATTAAATTTCTTCTTGATTAGAGCTTTAGAAGAAAATTTTCTTTGACTCCTCCCCCTTCCTCTAGATCCACAGTCATTTAGTTCTTGCCGGCTCTTCAGTGACTGTGTATGGTCAGTTACTCTCTGTTCTCACTGTCACTGCAGAGCCAAAATTGTCTCATCCCCGGACTGTTATTACAGACGCTTCCCAGCCAGTCTCCCAACTTTCAGTCTCTTAATTGTCCCATCACCAATAAATTATTAGCCATCACCAAAAAGTCTTAGAAAAATAATCCTCTTGCTCAAAAGCCCTCAGCAGCTAACGAATAAAATCTAACTCCTCTACTTGGCATTTAAAGCTGTACAACGTGGACCCGACTCTGTTCTCTAGCCAACACCCCAAGCAAATTACACTTCAGCCCATTCTCCAAACATGGGTCATGGCTTTCGATTTCCACATCTTTGTGCATATCCTTGCTCCAATAATCTCTGCCTGTATTCATCTAACAAAATCATACTTCCCCAAGAGTGATTGAGGGGGACTTGGGGGCTTCTGGAATACTGTACTATTCTCTCTGTGTGCTGGTTATATATCTAGTGTTTTCAGGTTGTGAATTCAGTGAGCCTGTACTGTATGCAATATATACTCTTTTATGTGTGTATTTTGCTTTAACAAAAAATTTGTTTTTAAGTGTATGTCCCTTCCAAGCACCCTCCTCTCTATAGAACATTCCCTGATCAAGTAACTGGAAATGATCTCTCCATCCCCCAAATAGTTACAGCAATTGTACCTCTCATATGATATTAACACATGAGCTGAGCAAACCTTATTTCACTACTGGACTTCAAGTTCCTTAAAATTAGGGATTAACTGACATATATTTGAATTCCCTAGAATGCTTAGCATGTTACAGGTGTTCAATAAATATTTCTGAATGAATGGATGCACTCTTATTGACTACTATAGTAAATTATGGTTGGTTGTTCTATGTATTCATGTGACACAGGATTGGGATTCCCCCTGCTGTGAACAGAGATGGAATGATCTGAGGCTATGGTCCTGCTCAAATATTTGTATCTCAATCAATTCCTTTGTTCTGGACTTAAGCACCCATTTGCCATCTAGTTCTCTGACTGAATCTTAAATGTTAATTGCTTACACTAGCACTGTCTCAGTAATTGGCTGTTGAGTTATTAACTGCCATGTTATGTTGTACTGGTTGTCTCCTGAAACACCCAAGTTATCATAGTCCTGGTGACTGGCCTCCTTTTCTGTTGTTACTGGATAAAGCGAAGGAAACAGACAGAGCCACAAGTATAGCTTGCATCGGGTTCCAAAAATGTTGGGCAAGTTATTTTTATGAACTGTCTGGATGATGTCCCCATGGTGTCTGTGTCCAGTGGCCTTTATGGATTTTTCCAGCCTAGAAACTTGATAGCTGATGTCTGCTTATTCCCATCTGAGAGCAGCTAAGTAAATAGCACTGGTCTTAATATTCAGTAAAGCTTTTTTACATTGATCTGGAAGCTGCCTATATGAGGTAAAGTCACTATTATTAGCATTCAACCAGACAGGTTGGGTTTTATTTTGTTAACTCTTATCACTATTATTTATTTTTATCTTCCCTTCAGAGCGAAGGGCACTTATCAAATCTAGATGAGCTTTTGTTTGTTATCGCACTGAGCCTACATAAAATACTTTTTTGTTTTACATCTTATTTTTTACAATATTTATTTATTTGCAATATATCAGGAAGGGTAATGCATTTTGTTAAATTACTTTGAGGTTATATATACACATGGTAAAGTAATCTCAGCACAAAAGGAGTACGTCAGTCTCCTTACTACCTCTATTTTTTTGATCCCTGCTGTCAAGGAACTTGTGTTCTGGATTAGAGAACAAATGTGTATGCTGTATGCTAACACATACAGCTTGAACTGGACAATCACTTACTGAATTGTGTAGTAGCATTGCAGATGGTATTTGGGGAAGGGAAAGATCAACAGATAAGTTTGCCTGAAGGGAGGCTATCCAATGTTGAGTATCCATTCAATGAATCCACACAGGTGAGAAGTGATACAATGTATACACACAGGTGAGAAGTGATACCAGGTAGGCAAAAGACACCCAGGGTGCCTGCCAAAAAAGGGAAGCAAACACAGTTGACAGATGCTCATTGATAACTCAGATGATGATAACTGCAAAAATGATGACCAAAATGATTTCTCAGAAAAAGAATAAAGAATCCACACACACGCCAGGCGTGGTGGCTCATGCCTATGATCACAGCACTTTGGGAAGCTGAAGTGGGAGGATCACTTGAAGTCAGGAGTTCGAGACCAGCCTGGCAAACATGACAAAACCCAGTCTCTACTAAAATACAAAAATTAGCTGGGCATGGTGGTGAGAGCCTATAATCCCAGCTACTGGGAAGGCTGAGGCGGGAGACTGCTTGAACCCGGGAGGCAGAGGTTGCGGTGAGCCAAGTTCATACCACTGCACTATAGCCTGGGCAATAGAGCAAGACTCCATCTCAAAAAAAAAAAAAAAACAAAAACACACACACAAAATTGACATACAAAGTCTAAAATTTACACATAAAATGAGTCCTTTTCAAACATAAAGATCTCCTTCTAGGCAAGCTTTAGTTATGAATTCTATATCCAATGATTTCCCTCTTCATTTTCAGAACTTCTTGCTGCTCCTGGTAGCCCTCGGGACCCAGTGAACAAAGCCAGTGAACAAAGCTCCATGAAGGAGCCCATGACATCAGTCATTGTCTCCCAGCTCAGATGCCAAAGCAAATGGCTAGCAGACCACATGTGGCCACAGAGTCATGAAGAAGGGCACCTCTATCCAGAAGTCATAGGCAGCCCAGGAAGTGAGAGACCTGAGGCAGTTCTTGCACCCTCTTCTCTTGCCGCATTGAAAGCTAAAACATTGCATAAAGGAGCTTTAAAAAAAATAAATAGGTCATCTGTGGTACTAACTTTAAAACAATCTATATTTTTAGTAAGCTCTTCAAAGGCTGCATCTTAGAGAACGAGAATGAGAACAAGAAAAGGAGTGTCTGCTCCATATAACCACAGCCCCTCATGTAGGTTTTCTTAGTTACTCAGCGCTAAAACTTCAACTTAAAAATTCCTTCTTATAAAGCAACTTTTTAAATGTCCCCTGTTGAGGATTGTTATGTGCTTAGCTATAGCAATCTTGAGTTTGCCACTTATCTTCAAAGAGGGCTGCTTTCTACCTCTCTCTGTCTTCCCTGGCATTTATAGACTGTCATTCAGTTATGATATATTGAGTGGGCCATTAGTTTCCATACTGAAAGAAAGAGTGAAAAAACAGGAAGGATCATGGTCAGGAACAAAACAACTTCCCAGGCCTAATTGACCTCTTATCTAAAAGCAGTTGGGATAACCACCATTATTTCTTTGGATTCAGATTTCATGTCAAAAAAAGAAAACAAAACAAAAGCCCAATTCATTTTATTTGGTGAAAATTACCTTTGTTATCATGTCTTGATTACACAAAATCCAGAAGGACTGTTAGCTTCACTTCAACGAGAAGACTGATGGCCCTGAGTGCTTGTGGTTCAAAGGCAGCCCAGAGCCCAGATAAAGACCAGGAATTTGGCTCTGGGATCAGTAACCATCTGACTCCATAGTAAACTGTCCTGGACCTTGGAGTTTTCTTATCTTGGCCAGAATACCAGGATATGTGCAGTGAGCTGAAAAACTTTCAAATCTTCAGCACTGTCAAATAAGTTGGATAGAAAAGTTTCTTGCTTTTAAATTGAACCTATGGTAGATAAAGTCTATCTCTATAGATTGTAAATGATTGTTTTACTTGTCCTGCTTGTATTTTTTCCCCTCCAGATGTCCAAGGAGACTTAAAATTCTGGCAAGGTGTTCAGTAAATACTCTTGACTGAATGATCAATCACTAGTAAATTACATGGCTGGTTCAATACCACCAGTTATTCCATGACAACCTTTGCTACTCATCCTAACAAAAGAACACAGCAGACAGAATAAGTTAAGATAAATCTCACTTTCTAATGTACTTGGGAAATGACCCAAGGTTTATAATGGATGATGAACAAAGACTTTACAGTCATTTAAATTGAAATTGCTATTGACTATGATGGTTTCAGTTATGAGAAAGGGAAAGGGAAGGTGATAGGTAAAATACTGGATATGCAAATGTTCTAATAAAGTTATATATAAACATAGTTTTATTGTATTTTATATCATAAAGTTATCAGTAATATCATATATGTCTTAAATGTACTACTTGAAATTCTTTCATCAAATGTTCTTATACATTAACACATCTTTATGTAAATCCTGATTTTTACATGGAAAAGTAACCCATAGAAGTATGGGTAAAATATGTTTTCTGGCCAGCCTCGTAACTGTAATCTCAGTACCTTGGGAAGCTGAGACAGGTGGATCATTTGAGCTCAGGAGTTTGAGACCACCTGGCCAACATGGTGAAACCCTGTCTCTACTAAAAATACAAAAATTAGCTGGCCGTGGTGGTGGGTTTCTATAATCCCAGGTACTTGGGAGGCTAAGGCAGGAGAATCGCTTGAGCCCAGGGGGCGGAGGTTGCAGTAAGCAGAGATCATGTCATTGCACTCCAGTCTGGGCGACACAGCGAGACTCCCTCTCAAAAAAAAAAAAAAAATGTGTATTTTAAAAGGCTAATTTTAAAAATTACTTAATGTATAATATAATACATGGTTGATTGATTGATTGATGTTTTTAATTTGATTACCAAAGACTAATTCCCTTCTCTTTCTGGAAGGAAATAGTTCATAATTTTTTTTTTTTTTCTGCAGGCCAGGCACAGTGGCTCACGCCTGTAATCCCAGCACTTTGGGAGGCCAAGGCAGGCAGATCTCATAAGGTCAGGAGTTGGAGACCATTCTGCCAACATGGAGAAACCCTATCTCTACTAAAAATACAAAAATTAGCTGGGCGTGGTGGCGTGAGCCTGTAGTCCCAGCTACTTGGGAAGCTGAGGCAGGAGAATCCGTTGAACTCAGGAGGCAGAGGTTTCAGTGAGCAGAGATCGCATTACGGCACTCCAGCCGGACAACAGACTCTGTCTCAAAAAAGAAAAAAAAAAATTTCTGGAGGCCGGGCGCGGTGGCTCAAGCCTGTAATCCCAGCACTTTGGGAGGCCGAGGCGGGTGGATCACGAGGTCGAGAGATCGAGACCATCCTGGTCAACATGGTGAAACCCTGTCTCTACTAAAAATATAAAAAATTAGCTGGGCATGGTGGCACGTGCCTGTAATCCCAGCTACTCGGGAGGCTGAGGCAGGAGAATTGCCTGAACCCAGGAGGCGGAGGTTGCGGTGAGCGGAGATCGCGCCATTGCACTCCAGCCTGGGCAACAAGAGCGAAACTCCGTCTCAAAAAAAAAAAAAAAAAAAAAAAATTTCTGCATACTCCTTCTTCAAAACTTCTTGAATCAATGTTTAAGTTTTCATTAAAAATTAAAACATAATTTTGTACCCAATTGTTAAGTTGTACTTAACTACAGCATTTATTTGGGAGAAACGTTTAAATTAAGGTATAATTCTTATATACAGTAGCATTACTCCACATTGCATTTAGGCCACCAGGACTATTTTAGTAGCATACTTTATTCAGAGCAGCCGTCCCCAAACCACAGCCCCGCGGGCTGCATGCAGCCCCCTGAGGCCATTTATCCACCCCCCTGCTGCACTTCAGGAAGGGGCACCTCTTTCATTGGTGGTCAGGGAGAAGAGCACAGTATGTGGCGGCCCTCGCAACAGTCTAAGGGACAGTGAACTGGCCCCCTGTGTAAAAAGTTTGGGGACGCCTGATTCAGAGAGATTTGTCCACTGTTATGCCTTCATGGATTAACCAGATATATATATTCTTTACCTCATCTGTATCTATTTAGTACAAATATCAAAGAATATTTGAGAATAAGGAATCAGTGTATGCTTTTCTCATTGCTGTTTTATGAATGTTGTTGCCCCAAAATATTTAAAGTAGCCAATAAATTAAAATAGCAACACAGGCTGAACTTCAAAAGATGTACCTTTTAATTTTGCCAGGCTAGGGAGAAGCATGTATTATGCTCCATAAATTTCAAAACGCTTCCTGGACCTAAACAATAATTAAGAACAGTTCCTTTGAGCCTTAGAAGGGTGTAGTCCTTGAATTTACTTGAGATCAAGACATCGCATTTTAAGGCTAAACTAAAAGGCGTATTTCTTCTGCTACTGAGACACTGAGCTCTAAGAGAACAATAAACTCTTGAGATCCATCAACTTTTCTAGTTCATAACTCTGAAGTGGCACGCATCAAGTCAACAAATACAAGTAAGCCTAAAACCCCAAACACCCTGAGGGTTGGGCTCTTATTAGGCAAGTCAAACCCCAACTAAAACTACCTTGGGGAATTCCCAAATATGAATCACAGCAAATCACCTAACAACAATAAAGGTTGCTCATAAACTCTTAAAGCCAGAGAGCTCCCATTCGATACCACATGGCTGCAAGTCAACATTCCTTGACAGGTAGCTGTCCAGTGTTTGCCAGAATGTTAACACTTGGAATGCTTTTGTTTAAATCACACTTCTATCCAGAAAGGAACTGTGGCCACTTGTAACAAATTTCATTACCATGCTTTTGGCAACAAAGGGAGGAAACCAATCTCAGGAAGGAAGAACTTGTGTTCACTATTGGAGAGACTATGATTGTCATCCTTGAGTCTGAAATTTGGCTTTCAGCTTCCTGATAGCCAAGGCAATACAAAAACGGAAAATAACAGTGACAGCTTTAAAACCAGAAGAGGAAAAGGCACTGAAAATTCTCAACAGAAATAATGCTTTCCTGCTGCTACATTCTGCAATAAATTTCTCATATGAGTGTGCCTTTACTTACAGGACAGTGAGCAGTGGAATGGACAACCCCCTCAACTATAAGAAATGTCTTTGCTGGGTGTCCAGAGAGTTCATTCCTCCAGCAAGTGTTGGTTGCCAGATGATGTGTGAGATGATACTGAGAAATCAGCATGGAACAAGTAAACACACAAGTAAGTAAGCGACCAAGATCAATTCAGAGAATGGGATGTGGGGAAAATAAAAATGGTAACACGCTAGAGAACAAAGTGGCAGGGGTGGGGAGAATGACTGTAGGTTGGTCTTTCTAGAGAAGTGACTTTGAACTAAGGTCTGAATTACAGATAGGAGCCTGTCAAGCATGGATGTGGAGGCAGAACAGTCCAGGCAAAGCAAATAGCAAATGCAACGGCCCTAAGCTGTGAGGCATGGCTTGGCTTGTTGCAAGGCATACTGACTGCCAGTGTGGCTGGAGCGTAGTGAGGGAAGAATATGAGCAAAAGGAGGTTGGAGAGACAGGCTAGGGCCAGCACAAACAGGGCCTGGTGGACCAAAGAAGGATTTCGGATTCTGTTCTGATAGGAAGCTAACTAAGTAGGGGATGATATGATGTGATCTTATTTATATACTAAGAAGATCTTTTTGCTGCTAGGGGGATAACTGATCATAAACGACCAAGGGGGGACAGCAGGAAGCATGAACAGGACTGGGATATAGTCTAGAGCTGCCTCGCTGGTGGACTGGATGCACAGAGTAAGACATTAAGGATCTAGGTAGATGATGCTGCTTATTGAATGGGGGTGACTATGGCAGCTATGCTTCCAAGAGAAAGTCAAGAGTTCTGTTTGGTCACATTGGTTTGAGCCACCCATTGAGCATCCAAGTAAGAATATATTAAGTAGGAGGCCTAGATAGCAAGAGTAAAACTTATTAATTTCGGAGTTACAGGCAAATAAGTATAATATAAAGCTATAAGGCCAGATAAGATCTGTCATGGAAGAAGTGGGCCAAGGGCCTAGATGAGGGTACTGCAACGTTTAGAAATCAAACAGAAGGCTGGGTGCTGTGGCTCACGCCTGTAATCCCAGCACTTTGGGAGGCTGAGGCAGGTGGATCGCCTGAGTTCAGGAGTTTGAGACCAGCCTGGCCAACATGGTGAAACCCCGTCTCTACTAAAAATACAAAAATTAGCTGGGCATGGTGGCAGGCGCCTGTAATCCCAGCTACTTGGGAGGCTGACACAGGAGAATTGCTTGAACTCTCAAGGCAGAGGTTGCAGTGAGCTGAGACTACACCACTTTACTCCAACTTGGGTGACAGAGCAAGACTCCGTCTCAAAAAAAGAAAAGAAATCAAACAGAGAAAAAAGGTACCAACAAAGAAGACTAAGAGGAAATGGCTAGAGAATGGGCAGAAACTAGAGAATGTGACACAGCAGCCAAGAGAGGATGGTTTTTCAAAGGTCAACCCTACCAAATACCACTGAAAGATAAAGCACAGAGACAGAGGAGGGACCACTGGGTTTGGCAATGTGAGTGTTAATAATAGCCTTAACAAAACTGTTTCCATCCCTTTTGGGGAGAGAAGCTGATGAAAATAGATTGGAAAGATGATGGAAGGTGATAGGGTGTTCTGAAGGACAGCAGAGAAATAGGGATAGCAGCTGGAGAATGACGAGACATCAGTGGAAAGTGCTTTAGTTTAAAGTGGGAGAAACTAAAACTTTTTTGTAAGCTGGGAGGAGAATGACCCAGTAGAGGGGAAAGGACTAATGAAACGGAGAAGGGAGACATCTGTGAGAGTTAAGTCTTTGAGGTCAAAAGGGATTTGATCTCTCACTTAGGAGCTTGGACATGTCATCTGCAGTAATAGGATAAAGACAAAAAAAAATGCAGGTACAGATACGTGTAGGATGGTATATTCATTAAGTGGAAGGAAAAGAAGATCCCAACTGGACTGCTTCTGTTTTCTCACTTTAGAGGGAGATGGGCAATGAAGAAACAGCACTTTTGGAAATTTGAGGACCTATAAGAAGATACGAAATAGCCGATATTCTTCAGTCTTACAATTCCAAAATATCAACTTGGTCTGCCTGATTTATGAAATACTCAATGTGATTCTGAGAGTATGAAGAATTTCTCAATTAATAATTTCTCAGTCTTTCTACCAGCAAAGGGATTCGCTGGTCCAGTGATTGCCAGTATCTAAGCCACCAAATAGCAAATGCTTGATTCATGTTCCTAAGCTATAGAAGGATTGGCCAAAACATTTCCTCCCCAGAGCACCACATCTCACCCTTTTCTGTGTGTATACCCCACAGCACAAAGTACTGCTATTACTATTACTACACAATGACTAAAGTTTCCACTGAGCTAAGTTCTTTACATGTATTTCTTTTACTATTCCCAGCAAAGAAATGAGCAAAATAGACTACTATTATCCAAGTTTTATGAATGATGACGCTGAAGCTTCCAAATGCTACATTATATCAATATTAAAGACCATGCAGTTATCCATGAAATGCAAAGGACAGATAATTAACTATTATCAATCACGCCATGTCGTTATGAGTGGAGTTGTTTAAATAAGTGTCATATGAAAACCCAGTAAGGTATTTATGCTTGTAAATAATTTGCCCATATTAAAAAAAAAAAAAGACTTGATTGAAATGATTTATACCTATAATGATTCACTATAGAAAGTTAAAAGAGGCTAAGTACAGTGGCTGACACTTGTAATCCCAGCACTTTTGGAGGCCAAGGTCAGGGGATTACTTGAGACCAGGAGTTCTAGACCAACCTGGGCAACATAGTGAGACCCTATCTTTACAAAAAAAAAATTAAAATTGCCAGACATAGTGGCACATACCAATAGTCCCAGCTAGTGGTTGGGTGAAACCAAGGTAGGAACATCACTTGAGCTTGGGAGATCGAGGCTGCAGTGAGCCGTGATCACACTACTGCATTCCAGCCTGGGTGACCCTGTCTCAATTAAATAAATAAATAAATAAAATAAAAAATAAAAAACAAAATACTTTGGACAGGAAGTCCCAACTGAAAAATGGGACATCACTGTGTGTCATTATACTGCCCATTATATCCAGTGACTCACTCATAAATAAACAAATGTCTGGAATACAAACCTTATACTTTTTTTCTGTCATGACATTTGTCATACTGCATTCCAAGGCCTGGATTCCTTAAGAAATTGTAATCTCTGTGTGATAGCAGAAACTGTTTCATTGTTGTTCTTCACTGTATTTCCAGCACCTAGCACAAGACATGAATTAGGTGCTCAATAAATATTTGTTGAGCGGCTGAATGAATAAATGAGTAAACCTACTCTGTGATGTGAGCTGCCCTAGCAGATCTCTTCTTTGAGCTCAGCAAATGATCTCACTCCCATAATGGAAATGTGGCTCCTTCTCCAGGAGCGGGGTCAGTTTATCTTTCTTGCCTCATTACGTCCTTCAGTGTCTGAGCCTACCTTTAGCACCTCTCTTCCCTGGGGCACCCACCGAGTTCATGCCATCTACTGTGCTAATTCACATTAAGCTGTTAGTGACATTACAACTGGAAGGACGTGTTTCGTTTTTATAAACAAGGAAGGACATACTTAATTTTTAAATTAATTTTCATAGACGTAATGTATACACATGGTCTGTGAACCCTGAAAATCTGAGACAGGTCTCAATTAATTTAGAAAGTTAATGTTGCCAAGGTTGAGGACTTGCACCCATGGCACAGCCTCAGAAGGTCCTGACAACATGTACCCAAGGGGGCAGGGGCAGAGCTTGGTTTTATATATTTCAGGGAGGCATGAGACAGTCAATATGTGTAAGATGTACCTTGGTTCAGTCCAGAGAGGTAGGACAGCTCAAAGCAGGGAGGCTGCTTCCAGGGCATAGGTAGATAGGAGACAGACGGTTATATTCTTTTCATTTTCTGATTAGCCACTCCAAATGAGACAATCAGATACGCATTTACCACAGTGAGCAGAGTGCTGAATAGAATGGGAGGCAGATTTGCCCTTTGTGGTTCCCAGCTTGACTTTTCCCTTTAGCTTAGTGATTAGGGGGACCCCAAGATTTATTTTCCTTTCATAGCACAAGAAGTGTTAAGTACAAGGCCCTGCCCGGTGACTCATGCCTGTAATCCCAGCACTTTGGGAGGCCAAGGTGGGTGGATCAATTGAGGTCAGGAGTTCAAGACCAGCCTGGCCAACATGGTGAAACCCCATCTTTACTAAAAATACAGAAATTAGCTGGGTGTGGTGGTGCACACCTGTAATCCCAGATACTCCGGAGGCTGAGGCAGGAGAGTCCTTTGAACCCAGGAGGTGGAGGTTGCAGTGAGCTGAGATCACAGCTCTGCACTCCAGTCTGGGTGACAGAGTGAGACTCTGTCTCAAAAAAAAAAAAAAAAAAAAAAAAAAAAAGTTTTAAGTACAAAAGCATACATATTGAAAAGCAAACTGGCATTCATTCCTGTTCCCGATACCCATTTCCTTCCAAAGGCAACATCTTCTACTAGTTTATTTACTTGTTTTTGTTTATTCTGAAGGAAGAAGTCTAATAGGCATACTCTATGCACATGCAACTTTTTTGTATAAACACAAAAGCCTCCTTCAAAAAAACTTTTTCTGGCTGGGCAGGGTGGCTCACTCCTGTAATCCCAGCACTTTGGGAGGCCGAGGTGGTCGGATCACAAGGTCAGGAGTTCAAGACCAGACTGGCCAACACGGTGAAACACCGTCACTACAAAAAAATACAAAAATTAGCTGGGCATGGTGGCTTGTGCCTGTAATCCCAGCTACTTGGGAGGCTGAGGTAGGAAAATTGCTTGAACCGGGACCTGGGAGGCGGAGGTTGTAGTGAGCCAAGATCACGCCACTACACTCCAGCCTGGGTTACAGAGCAAGACTCCATCCCCCGCCAAAGAAAAAACAAAACTTTTTCTACACCTTGCTTTTTAATTAACACTATCAATCTTTTCAACAGCAACTTAGCATGCCATTTAATAGAAGGGCATCAACTTAGCAAACCTTTATAAATCAGGCCCTCAAGTGATGACTTAAGTGTGGCAGAATTTCGGCATTCGAGGCAGAGAGAATCCGAGCGGTCCTGTGTGTGGGAAAGGCAATGGAGGGATCTGTAGTGTTGATGGGCCACCTGGAAACCCAGATACGTGTCACAAGAAAATCTGAAGGAAAACAACTAGCCAGGGTTACAATAACTAGAGGGGAGCAGGAATGCAGATGCCAGGAAAGGGAAACCCAACAAGGCAAAAGGAATGGGCACTCAGGACTCTTCCCAGCCATCTGGACCCAACCTGTCCCAATGCCCCGATGCATCTTCTTTTTCTTTTTCTCTCTCTTTTTTTTTTTTTTTTTTTGAAACCGAGTCTTACCTGTCACCCATGCTGGAGTGCAGTGGTGTGATCTCAGCTCACTGCAAACTTCGACTCCCGGGTTCAATAGATTATCTTGCCTCTAGTAGCTGACATTACAAGTGCCCACCACCATGCCAGGCTAAATTTTGTATTTTTGTAGTTTAGTAGAGTAGAGTAGAAACATTTGAGATCACCATGTTGCCCAGGCTGATCTTAAACTCCTGAGCTCAAGTGATCCACCCGCCTCAGCCTCCCAAAGTGCTGGGATTACAGGCGTGAGCCACCTCGCCCAGCACCGATGCATCTTCTACTTTCCCGAGTCCCTCCGCCCCTCTGAGCAGAAATATTTCCTCTCCCAGCCCCTAACCCTAAGCAGGTACATTCCAGGGCCTTTGCTCAAGTCCTCAAGCTTCCTGCAATGCATTTGAAACCAGTGACACACCCTCCCTCTTGAGCTCTTGCCTGTCCAGGTCTCTCCATCACCTTGCCCTATTGTACTTCTGCTACCACTGTGAAATTTCTTCATTCTCTAAACTCATTCATTAGGGCTGCCATAACAAAGTAATTTGGATGTGGTGGTGAAAGAGCAGAAAGTTAAGGATGACTTGCTGGTTTTTGACTTGAGCACCCGGATAAGTAATTTGTTTTTGTTTTTTTTTTAACCAAGAGGACGCAAAAGCACAGTAACAGGTTTGTGGGGGTAAGAAAGGTTGTTCAGTTTTGGCAATGTCGAACTAGAGTTACCTGCAATACAGCCACACCCAAGAAAATATTCAAGCCTGAATCTGATGATAAGAATGTGAGCTAGGCACAGTGGCTCATACCTTAATCCCACCCTTTTGGGAGGCCAAAGCATGAAAACTTCTTAAGTCCAGGAGGTAGTGACCAAGCAACACAGTGAGATCCCATCTCTATATGCAAAGAAATAAAAAGAAACTATGTGGATGTTGCCAGTACATATAAGTGGTCATCAGAGCCATGGACATGGGCAATAAGGCCCAGGTAGTGTGCAGAGTGTTACAAGCCTAGGACAGACCCAGAAGAACAGCAGCATTAGGGGTGGGTGGAGAAACACAGGCCAACAAAGAGAGTGTAGAGGAAGGAAGGTCAACAAATGCTAGGGTCATGAGGCCAAATGTCAGTAAATATAAAGTGCAAGTGATAGTGACAGAAATCAATAGCCTCTTTCTTTCTAATGTCATCCTCACACAGAGGATGGCTCCTCCAAACACTCAGAGCCCTTCTGAGCCACACCTCTGCCCAATCTTCACTCATGAGAGAGCAGGTAAGCCTGAGGCACCCTGTCAGCAAGGCTGTGTTTGCAGACTTGAGCACAGTTATTTGAGACATCTATTTTCTTTCTTGATATTTCAATATTTCTTTCTTCTTCTTTTTTTTTTTTTTTTTTTTTTTTTTTTGAGACAATCTCACTCTGTTTCCCAGGCTGAAGTGCAGTGGTACAATCTTGGCTTACTGCAACCTCCTCTTCCTGGGTTCAAGTGATTCTGCTGCCTCACTCAGCCTCCCGAATAGCTGGGATTACAGGTGCCCACCACCATACCCAGCTAATTTTTGTATTTTTAGTAGAGACAGAGTTTCACCATGTTGGTCAGGCTGGTCTTGAACTCCTGACCTGAAGTAATCCACCTGCCTTGGCCTCCCACAGTGCTGGGATTACAGGCATGAGTCACTGTGCCCAGCCGATATTTCAAGAATTCAGTTAAATGATGTGAAGAGCAGAAGTTGAATATTAAAGCAGCAAATTCTCTATGCTAGTAAATGTTCAGTCCACTGATATGGAAACCACAGGTTCGTCTAAGTGATGGAGAAGTCTGTATAATGATGTTTCCTTCAGCAAGGCCTTACAGGATCCAGCAAGTCTCTGAGGTCATCATGCACGCTCATCTTCCTGGCATCTGTCATATGTGCATTACTCATCTGCAACTGACTGGCTCAGTTCAAACCTAAGGTTAGCATATTTGGAGGCAAGGGACCAGTTAGCCTGTGTTTCTCATTGTGTAGCCACATCTTACTCTATTCCCATCCCACTTTACGTACAACGTTTACCCATTGCTCAACCTTCTTCACAAACTTTACTGCCATGTGCAAATCTTTCCTTGGCCGTTTCAGCCTATGGGCCATTTTCCCTCCTGTAAACTTTCATCACATTTTCTCTGTCACTCACCTGATTTTTGATAATATTTCATTTGAGATTGACTTCACTGGATCTTATTTCCCCTCTGAGTTACTTGCTGCCATCAGGAGGCATACTGAAATCTTTGACATCTTTTAATTATTCTCCTAGAAGCTTAGACCCACCTCTGTCCTTGGTGTAGATGTTTGGTTATTATGTAATGATTATACTAATCATATAATT